CTATATAAGTTTGAAATAATAATATCTATTTCTGTAATGGATTAAAATATGGTATGTTATATATGAAATGTAATAATGAACATTTTTTTTTAATGTACCATTTTAAAATATCTTGATGTTCAGTAAAGTTTAATGATATGAGCACAACATTGCAGTTCGGAGTCTAATGTTATACCAAGAAATACAGTATCATCAACAAAGTTAATAAGTTTATTGTTCAATACGATTTTTGAGTCAACCTTATTATTGAAATTAAATTAGTATATATTATACATACGCGATACTTAGTACGTTTATTTTTTAAGTTTACGACAAAACCTTGAAAGTAAGTTAGATTGCTAGTATGCGTCCCGAGATTTTTCCAAGTTGAAGTGTACAAACTTGTATAACTTCTAAGTTATTCCATTTCTGTTGAAAGTCAGTACAAACAAGTTTCCATCAAGTTGCTTTCACTTTCAGTCCTAATGAACTGCTGTCGTTTTTTATAAGGCGCAGTAGGCCATCGATTTTAAATATGGTAACACTAAACTAAATTAAAAAAATGGTAACACTTATGTAAATTAAAAAATATGTTTAATTTCGGGATATCTGTTATATATGGGGAATATATAATAGATATCCCCATATTACACATATTATTTATACATATATATGCATATGTAATTTCGGGATATCTATTATATATGAGAAATATATAACAGATACCCCCAAATTACACATAGATATTATTTAATTTAAGTGTTACCATTTTTTAATTTAGATTAGTGTTACCATATTTTAAATCGATGGCCTACTATAATCTATTTAATATTTTCTCTATTTGAGCATTTAATTGAATTATTGGTTTGTATTCACACACTTAAACTTAAAGTAGTAAAGGAACAATAAAATTATTTAAAAGAGCAACACGCAAGTTTCTTGCTCGTTCTTCTTGCGATGAGACAGCTTGCCAAATGAGCGGTAGATTAAAAAAAAATTGTTGACTATTCAAAAGTGCTTAAATTAAGTTAATTTGAATAAATGATTTTCTATTCTGTTCTATTATAACTTTTGCGTATTTTAGTGAGCAACTGAATACTTACAAGTTTACACGTACTCTGATTTGAGAAATGAATCAAATCAATAGTAGCAGTGCTGACTGGGGGAGAAGGGAATTGTTAGTAATAGACTAATAATACCATTGCTAACAATGGCTGGCCCTCCACGCGGTCCGCGGTATATTCAACATATTTTTTTATCATTACTTAGCATTGAAAAATACATACAACCCAAAATATATGCCCTCCTACCATCAACCCCTATTTTTTAATAGCGATTAATTTATTTGGCATACATATATATACTACCAGCTAGGTAGATCCAATTTCGAGAAAGAGGTCATTTTTGCTTTCAACAAATTTAGTTTATCAGACAGAAATTTTCATTATAATTACGAATTGACTGACCTCGATCTGATTTTAAATCGAATTGCTTGCGACACCGTAAATATGGATCGTGTAAATTTTAAAATAAAAGTTATTAAAGTGGGGCTGGTTTCAGTTCAATAATCGTTTTGCGATATTTTGTGAGATTGAATATTGATCCAAAATCGGTGATTCTACACTCGAAATTGTCGATCACTACGTATACTTAGGGCAAACTATCCAGCTAGGTAGATCCAATTTCGAGAAAAAGGTCAATCGTCGAATCCAACTCGAATTTCCGCAGTGTCTCAAGACGAAGGTTTACGACCAATGTGTGTTGCCAGTGATGACTTACGGAACAGAGACGTGGTCGCTAACTATGGGCCCCATCAACAAGCTCAGAGTCACTCAGAGGGCAATGGAGAGGGCTATGCTCGCGTTACTCTGCGTGATCGAATCAGAAATGAGAAGATTCGCAGAATAACCAGAGTGACCGACATAGCCCGAAGAATTGCGACTCTGAAGTGGCAATGGGCAGGGCACATAGCTCGTAGGACAGATGGCCGTTGGGGCAGTAAAGTCCTCGAGTGGCGACCACGGACCGGAAGACGCAGCGTGGGAAGGCCTCCAGCAAGGTGGACCGACGATCTGGTCAAAATCCCTGGAAGGCATTGGATGCGAGCAGCGCAGCACCGATCGTCGTGGAGATCTTTGGGGGAGGCCTATGTCCAGCAGTGGACGTCTTCCGGGCTGCGATGATGATGATGATGATGACATATATATACATATATATAATTGAGAATCAAGAGATTAGTCCTTGGAAATATTTTATGTCAACCGACTTGACAAATGTTCATAAATTAATGTGCTGTGTATTTTATGGCGTTGAGAAGCATACAATGTACGCAAAGTGAACGCTAAGACGAAGATAAACTTACAAAGTTCTAAGCAAAGTTCTTCAAGCTACCATTAGAATTAAAAGCTTCAAAACAGAATTGTATACGCGAACGCGAATATGTGGTAGATAAGTTTAACGTACACATATCAATAAAATTGTAGTATCTGTTTGTAATATTGAAATAACCGTTTTTTACTACACGCATATGATATAAATAAGGTATATAAACCAAAATAACATTTTTTTTCAAACCGGCTAATCTCTGAAATGGCTGGATCGATTTTGCCTGGACTTTTTTCGGCAGGTAGCTGATGTAATAAGAAGTAACTTAGGCAACTTTTATTTTATAAAAATAAAGTTAAATTCCATGCGGACGATGTTGCGGGAACAGGTAGTGAAATATATTTTTAAAGACTTAATTAATGTAATTGCTAGTAAATTGTAATAGAGTTGAATGTATTCTTTTATATATATTACAAAAAATTTAATAATAATTCAAATTAATAATAATAATAATTTGCTAAGGCTCCCGTGTTTGAACGTCTAACTCCCGTAAAAAGGAGATATATAAATAATAATCATAATAAAATATATTGCAGTTATAGGTTGTGTTAGATAATTAAGTCTTATATATAAGAGTAAATACAATTTGAAATTTGCTCAGAATTATCTACTAATTCTGAGCAAATTTATATTCAAAATTAAAAAAAATCTAAATCAAAATATCTTTATTCATATAGGTCTATTACAGACTCTTATGATATGTCAAATCTACCGTCAGTAATTATTATTTTTACAACCTACTACTATTTTTAATTTATTCTATTTTTATTCAATGTTTCCTAAATTATTGTCCCTTTGAACAACTCGTTCAATTCCATATATGTTCATTTCAGAAAAAAATATATCTTCGCATTTATGTTAAAATGCTCGCTCTTATGAAAAAATTATGTTTCACAAGGTTCCCAAATTTTTGCTGTACATTGATTAATCAAACAGTTCAAACATCCAATTAACAGAGACTTATATCCAGCGCGACCTCATTTTTATTGAAATCTATTCAGTACGACAGACCGTCAAAATTAAGTAATAAAGCAAAGAAAATATCTGTTTTGGGTTTTTAGTGGTTATTTTTAGTCTACGAAGATATTTTGGCGTTCAGGTTTTCTTTAATAGCTACAAATTCAAATTCTAAATATCACTATTCCTGTAGGTCTGTTATAGACTTATGATATGTCAAATCTACCGTCAGTTCGGAATGATTTCGAGATGAGAAGAACTGACAAGAAACTCAGCTCGTATTATTTTCTAATAAATATTGTACATGTTTAAAAGATAATACGGATTCGTTTAAATTCAAGTTTGGGAGAATAGAGTGACCACCAGCAATGTTAGTGCAAAAACAAAAAGTCTAATCAGTGTTCGTAGCCTGAACAGACCAATCCCACAAGTAGCGTATAGCCCAACACATCCGTCCGTCATACTCGTGAACACCCGTTCACGGGTATGACGGATGGATTTGTTGTTTAAATTAAATATATTCAACTTTTTTCGTTTAAGATTGTAGATATAGTAGAATTAAATTAAATTTTACTTTAATAATGTAGATAACTTTCCTTACCTGCAACTTTGACAACTGAATCCTTTCTGAGACACTTTCAAACTTTCTTGTTACATACAACTCATTCTTACTACAGGAGACCGTCATTTTAGTTAGTAGTTACTTAAAGTTCAGAGAAGTGTCTAACTAAAGTTTGAATTCTAGATAAATCTGTTGTCTTAAAAATATATCAGAGGGATAATAATAATCTCAGGACAATTCACACAGCGCCATCTAGACCCAAGTTAAGCTAGCTAAAGCTTGTATTATGGGTACTAGATAACTGACACAATACTTAGATTATTTTTTTTTAATTATCCAGACACATACAAACAGTTCAACTCATGAATACAAATGTTTGTGCCGTGTGAGGAATCCGACCGCGACCGTCGGACGTAAAGATAATGCTAGACCGCTAGACCACCGAGGTGGTCAATACAATCAAGGTAAACTTATATAGATTAATATATATATATATATATATACATATATAAAGATCTATTATTTATCTACATACTACGAATGGTTAGATTATATAACAACAAAGTAATATATTTATTTAAACTTTAATGCACAAATTCCTCTAGTGTTGCGGATGCTCATGGGCGGCGGTAATCATTTACCATCAGGTGAGCCGAATGCTCGTTTGTCACCTGTGCTATAAAAATAAATACTAAAATAAAGGTGTTATGGCGGACTTAATACCATAAACAGATTAGTGGGCGGTTCCTATATTGGAATTAAACCATATAATATATACTAGCTGTCCCGGCAAACGTTGTTTTTCCATATAAATGAATAGCTCTATAAAAAATAGAGGTTGGTCATAGAACAGTGAAAAATTTGGGCTGTATGTATTTTTTAATGACACAACAAAAAAATACGAATAAAAAATTTGCTCAAAAAATAAAAAAATAATATTAAGGTTGGACGACCTTATCTGCTGTATAAACAATATTATTGTAAACTTTCATCAAAATGCATTCAGTAGTTTTTGCGTGAAAGAGTAACAAATATCCATCCATACTTACAAATTTCGCGTTTATAGTATTAATAATAAGATATATATTATATGTTAATGATGTTTCTTTTGTTTCAGATCCCGTCGATGTAGGTGGTCAGGAGTAGGTGTTCTCGGCATCAATATGCTCAGGTAATAAATATTATATTACAGTTTCATTGTTATACCGTAATTATTATATGACGTTTTACCCATCAATCTCATCAATACAATCCTAAGAACGTTTTCGTAAATCGACTGAAATGCAGATTTAGTACTAGCATAAATAACATAATCTAAATATATAACTCAAAGGTGAGTGACATAGTGATCTAACAACGCACAGCCCAAACCACTGGACGGATCGGGCTGAAATTTGGCATGCAGGTAGATGTTATGATATAGGCATCCCCTAAGAAAGGTTTTTGTTTAATTCTACCCCCAAAGTGATAAGGATGATAGAAATACGAAGCATAGGGGATGAAAGTTTGTATTAAACTTTGTCAATTTTAAACCGATCGGGCTGAGACTTTGAATGCATAAATCTACTATAATGTAGGCATCCCCTAAGAAAGTATTTTGATAACACAAGGTTTAGCTCGCTTAACTTCTAGACGGGTCTAGATGGTGGTGTGTGAATTGTCCTGAGATTATTATTATAATTAATGAACTAAACGAGAGAGAACTAATGAGAATTGCTATATTTATATAATATATTTCGCAATTCACACAGCGCCATCTAGTCCTAAGCTACATATAAATACATGAATACATTTGTTTCGTAAATACATACATATTATACATACAAAACACCCAGACCGATACAAACAATTATACTCATGAATACAAATGTTTGTACCGTGTGAGGAATCAAACGCATGACCATCGGATAGTAGAGCGGTGTTCTAAACCACTAGACCACGAAGGCTGTCAAATAAATGAATTCTGTATACAAATAATAGTTCTTAGTAAGTTTAAAAGAATATCCTAAGAACTGAATCTTGAAGATTGGAAGCGTGGTTTCCGAGGAACGAACGCGTTCCCAATTACGCTAAGGACATTGTTAGTTGGCGATATTTTCTATAATAACATCATTAAGCCCTTTCTGTGCTTGGAAGTGAATTTCTCATAGTGAGTCGCTCATAAGTCTGTCCGTTGGGAGGATAGAAAGCACTGAGAGACTTCTAGAAAACTGCAAGGTTTCCTACGAAGAGCCTTGTTGGAACAGCCACATCATAAGATACAAGGTTTAATTAAGCGGCTTGTGATGTAATGAAGTTAATAATAAAGACTTCTTTATTTTTTAAATTGCTAACTGCCATCTAGTTTTTAGTAAGTCTAAACTGGAGCTACTAAAATTTTTAGTACCTACATTAATAAAAATTCTAGATCAAATAAAATGATTGAAAAATCTGTAGTTACATATAAATTAAAACTTAAGAAATTTATATTAGAAAAACAAATTTCCAATGTATAACTGTTCGTACTGTATTGTTTTATCTATATATTTTATCCATACATGATCATAGAATAGAATAAAATATAAATAATCTTTATTCAAATAAACTTAATATAAACACTTTTGAATACTCAAGTTACTCTTTTAAATAAATATTGATTTACTTATATTTAATTAATAACAAGGATTAGGCATGCGACAATCAACTTAGAAACCGCTACGCACTTAATCTCTGCTCAATCAGATAACATTGTCAGCGCTATGAATTTTAAGTTAGATATTTTCTACAAATATATACACTTTCACCTTATCAGAAGCACCAACAGCACACGTTCATGAAGGCAGCAGTAGGTACACTATTTCTATATTGCTGCTTGTAGGGACTGGTCTGCTCTAATCACTACGACTGATCTCCTCTAATTAATTGTTTAACCAATTGGTTGTATATTTAATATTTTTTCTATTCGAGTATTTAATTGAATTAGTTCTAATCGGTAGTTTGTATTCACACACTTCAACTTATAAATGTAAAGTAAGAATAAAATTATTTAAAAGAGCAACACGCAAGTTTCTTGCTCGTTCTTCTAGTGATGAGAAAGCTTTCCGAATGAGCGGTAGATTAAAAAAATGTGAAGACTATTCAAAAGTGCTTCAATGTAAGTTTATTTGACTAAATGATTTCTATTCTATATTTTAAATTAATTACTATAATGTTCCACTGAAAATCACAGTTTAGGCATTAAAGTCCAGGCACAAAGCTTAGTGAAAACCAATTTGCTCGCAGTTGTATTTTTTAAAATAATTAATTATAATTATTGTAATACGTTGTATGATTCCAAATAAATATATTAAAAAAAATGAAGAAAATAATAATCATATTATTAAAAAAGAAATAGAAAATTTAAAACAAGTCAAAACGTAGAAGAGAGAGCGAGAGAAGAAGAGAAAAATTGAAAAGTGAGATGAGTAATGTAGAGTTGACTTGATTTAAAATTATCATAAACTTATTAGTATTTTATTGACAACAATTCAGCCATTTTACAATGATTGAATATCATATACCTAAATATATAAACTTTTCAACATGTTCATAGACTTTTATGTTACAGTAAGATTGTTTAATACCTAAACAGAAGAAAATAATAAAAGAACAGTCATACTTTACTTTATATACGTTTTTAATATATGTACTAATATTAAACATATACTTTAATTACTCTAAATCTCATCCTTATTACATGAATATATACATATATATATACAGTTTTATGCTTCTTAATAATTAATTATAACTATAATAATAATAATCTCAGGACAATTCACACAGCGCCATCTAGACCCCAATTAAGCTAAAGCTTGTGTTCTGGGTAATAGATAACTGATACAAATACAAAGATATTTTGTAAATACATACATAGAAAATACACAGACCGATACAAACAATCATATTCATGAATACAACAAATGTTTGTGCCGTGCGAGGAATTGAACAAGTGACCATCGGACGTAAAGCGGTGTGCTGAACCACTGGACCACCGAGGTCGTCTTGATATGTACAAATCAATACGTATTCGTGATATGAAGACAAAACACGCAAAGTACTAGTCACTTTTATTTTAACATATTAAACAAACATTATAAGCTATTTTTAATAGAACATTTCATGTAGAATCAATTACTATAGCACTAAATGTTTGAAATGATGACGTACATGCCGTGGACGCGCCTATATATACATTTAATGAGTTTTTTATACCACATAGGTGGCAAACATACGGCCCGTCTGATGGTATACGGTCACCGTAGCTGTAGATGTTTAAAACACCAGGGGTGTTACGTGCGCGTTGCCGACCCTTAAGAAACCTTAATGTACCATTCTAGAAAACCCCATGCTGTAGTCTTGTGAGTAAAACCTCGGCAGGTAGTTCATTTTACAATCTAGGTATACGCGCGAGGAAGCTCCTCTGACTCTATTCGATAGATGGAGTATCATATTTATTATACAAACCGTACCTGCGACTTCGTCCGCGTGGAATTTAACTTTATTTTTTTAAAATAAAAGTAGCCTAAGTTACTCCTTATTACATCAGGTACAATAATAATAGTTCCGTCAAAATCGGTCCAGCCATTTCAGAGATTAACCAGAACAAACAGACAGACACAAAATGGTAAAAAATGTTATTTTGGTGTATGTACAGTATTTATATTCATATGTATGTAGTAAAGAAATTCAGTATTACAAACAGACATTCCAATTTTATTTACATGTATATATTATATATATATATATAAATGATATAGCATTTATGTTAAACGTTAAATGAGTATTACCTTTCTGAATGTTACATTATTCGTGACGGAAAATATCAAACAGAATACAATAGCAGGGATTATGAAATGGAGCAGACATGTGTTGATATTATCGTTTATTACATTGTGGCCACTAGCAGGAATAATGTAATCTTATGAAATATATCTAGATACATTGCAAATAGGTCTAACTCTGTTGCCTTTGCGTTTAATACATTAGGCATATATATTTTCACTAGCTGTACCAGAGAATTCGTCCGCATGGAATTTAACTTCATTTTCTCTAAAATATGTGTAGCCTAAGTACTCCTTATTACATTAGCTACCTGCTAATAAAAGTCCCGTCAAAATCGGTCCAACTGGAACAAACGGACAGACAGTCAAAAATTGTAAAAAGCGTTATTTTAGATGTGTTTTTAAGATAGAATAGAATAGAAAATTAATTCTTTCTAGGATATGTAACAGGGTTGATATCTACGAGTTTTTTTAAACATATGTTTTAACTAGCTGTTCTGTTAGGAGTCGTGCGACTCCGTCCGCGTCGTATATAACTTAATTTTTCTAAAATATAAGTAGCCTAAGTTACTCATTATTACATCAGCTACCTGCCAATAAAAGTCCCGTTAAATCGATCCAGCCATTTCAGAGATTAGCCGGAACAAACAGACCGACAGACAGACAGACAGAAAATATAAAAAATGTTATTTTGGTGTACATATGTACCGTATTTATATTCATATGCATGTAGTAAAAAACTGTTATTTCAATATTACATACAGACTCCAATTTTATTTATATGTATAGATATCTTGTCACGTCTGTGAGCAGATGTGGTTTCCCATATATGTCAGGTAGAGAGCCACTCCCAATAGAGCAGCTCTTCGGTTTGACATGAAATTGACAGTTTAATTAAAGGAATAACGTTAGATATATCAAAGAGAGACATCCGATGCACATTATGCAGATGAATGACACACAGACACACATGTATATATATATATATATATATATATATATATAATATTTTTGTATTGCCAATACATACTACTAAAAGTGATGAGTATGTATTTATATCGTAACTAAAATTTTATTATTATTATTTATATAACCTAATTGTACAACTAAGAACTTAAAATTAAAAAGCTTAATAAAAATATATAATATGATGACTAAAATATATTATTAAAAGGGGTCCCTTTAGGCAACGTTCCGAAGATACTGGCAGCGTTCCCTCTTTGAATAGCTAGACTAATTCTTTGTCCGAGGTAGCTGCCAGCTCTTCGGTCTTCTGTGATGTCGACTAACCTTTTCGTTATTTCTTTGAAAAGTCTTATAGCGCTAGGACCCCACGGACCGAGGGTCTCGACACCGAATGGGACAAATTTATATTCGGAGCCTAGACCCCTGTATTTACATGTTTTGGCTTTTTCAGCCGCTTATATATATATTTATTTATTTTAGGTAATCAACAGCTTATACAATTTATAGTATTACATAGTTAGTAAATCCAATAACAGATACCTCATGAATTTATCTTTAATATTAAAGTTATATTTAAATTGGTTATTTAAAAACAATATAGTTAAACATTTAAACGGGTCAGAGCCAAAGATAAAGAACAGGTAAGGGTGAATACAATTAGTAAATCACGTTACAATATAATAAAGTCATTCATATGTACGTACTATATGTGTATAAAAATGTGTGTATCTGTCAGTTATATATCTTATATATAAAATTCTCGTGTCACAGTTTTCGTTCCCATACTCCTCCGAAACGGCTTGACCGATTCTCATGAAATTTTGTGAGCGTATTGAGTAGGTCTGAAAATCGGCCAACATCTATTTTTCATTTCCCTAAATGTTAGGGGTAGTCCACCCCTATTTTTTTTTTATTTTAAGGCAAAACAACGTTTGCCGTGACAGCTAGTATATATATATTGCTATAATATTATAAACATGAAACTTTCTGAGTATGGATGGATATTTGATACTCTTTAAAGTAATATAGCTTATGCATCAGAATAATGTATAGGCTATGTTTTGTTTTTAATTTATATATTGAAATTTATCGCGGGTGAAACAGTAGGCACAACTAGCACATATTTGTGATTATGGAAGGATTATTGTTTTTTTTTACCCAAAACTTTCACGCAAAAACTACTGAACGGATGGTTATAAAACTTTACAGTAATATTGCTTATCAGAATGACATATTGGCCATAATTTTAAAAGTCATTTTGTAATATATATATGTCTATATATGTCTAACATTAAATGATAATCCCGTGCAGGAACAGCTATTGCCATGCACGCTCGTCATTCAAGTAATCGTTTAGTGAGTAATAGGCTTTAATTTTTTTTATTAGTTATAGTCATTATCTTCTAGAGGAAGGTTTATATATATAATACATGTACACCCGTGCGAAGACGGGGCGAGTAGTTAATCATCATATAAAATCGCAGTCTATCCCTATGTATGCTTAAATCTTTAAAACTACGCAACGGATTTTGAAGCGGTTATTTTAATAGATAGAGTGATTCAAGAGGAAGGTTTATTTAAGCCGGAGCGTGTAGAATAGAAATGATCTTTTTCAAACGAACTGAATTCTACATATTACTATAGATACATATGAATGTAAATTAACAAACAGTAGAAAAAGTATCTGGAATATTTTTAGAAACGTTGCCGCGGACTATTACGTGTAAACCTTCACTACACTTTTTTTGCGCCGTTTTTTCTGTAGTATAGCAGTCTGGGAATAAAGCATACTACTCTTTTCAACGTCCGTATCCGTTAACTGAATCTTCCACTTCATCATAGCCGATCGGAACATAAATGAAATGAAACACGTGAAAGATTGAATTTTAAAACTGCCACATGTCTGCATAAAATCTGCATCGTAAAATAACTATAAATTCCGATGGCTAGAAATTGATCCCTCAAATATGCAACAGTGTTGAGTGTACAGTTTTTTTATGTAGTAGATTTTGACACTCATGTACTTTAAAAAATATTTTATTACTTACCCTACCGTCCTGTTCAGTTAGCTACTTCAGCCCAGGATTAGACATATTATTTATTCAACTATATCTATGTAAATACAATCAAATCATATCCTTACATATGAATGTGGATAGTTATAAGGGTAAAGGAAGACCGAAAAAGAGATGGATGGACTGTGTGAAAGATGATATGGTGAGAAAGGGAGTAAATAACGAGATGCCTGCGAACAGGGATGAATGGAAGAGAAAAACATATTACGACGACCACAAATAAATGGGATAAGGAAGTAGCAGATGATGATGATCTGTGTAAATGTAAATTTACACAGAATTGAATAAAATAAGAATACAAAATCCTTTATTCAAATAAACATAATTTAAGCACTTTTGAATAGTCATAATTGCCCTGTTATTAACCTACCGCTCATTCTGAAAGCTGTCTCATCACAAGAAGAATGAGCAAGAAACTATCGTGTTGTGCTTTTAAATAATCGTTGTAACTTTACATTTTAAATCACAATGTGAGAACACACTACCTACTGGCACTAATTTATTAGGGTCAAATATAAAATACAGACTTAGATTAAATCAGTTGTAGTGATTAGAGCAGACCAGTCCCTACAAGCAGCACTCGTTCACGAGTATGTATGAATCAGCCATCGCTCGGCTACGTCATATCACGGATGCCAGTACGTGACTGACGAGAATTAATCCATAAATATGTGTATAATATGTGAGCAAGCAAGCAAAGCAAGCTTCCTGTTTGTAGGAGAACGAAAAACGGAGAAACGGAGAAACGAAGGAAGGAAAAATTTCATGCGGTTTTATTTTAATTTTCTCTTTTCCTTTACTAATATATAGCTATGCTTTAATCCTGTAGTTAGCACTTGTAATATCGTGGATTATTCTGAGATTACAAAGAATATAAATCAACAACTTTTAAAAGTAACTAGAAGTAGACGTTAAATAACATTGTTAGTATTTATTTTAGCAGAAGAATATAATATAATTCCCTAGTGTGAATGTTGTAATAAATTAATGTATTAACTTTTAAAAAGAAGTAGTGAGACATTTAACACTACAGTAATTTCCCGCTTGGAAATGACGCTATTAGGAATTCTGTATCCGAAGTTACGACACAGCGAATGAACTTTTAAAAAATAAGCACCGTGGACACTAAAAGTTCACGGGTTTGTGCTTTTAATGGATGTCGTTTTCATTTCTATTGTGTGTGAAAAATTGAGTATTAATTTGTATAAACTGAACTGGTCATCTATAAGGGGGCGCTTATACCATTAATTCATTCTTAAATCAATAACTAAACTCCTCACCGTCCCCTTAAAAATTTACCTTAATATTAGTACACTGTATTACTATATAACATATAACTAAGTACTTATAAATATGTATAAAATTAATTTCTAAAACCAGCAGAAACTCAATCCAATCATGTTCTTATCTGTATCTATAATGAGCGATATGTTTGTAAAAAGTTAACGGATTTAAAAAAATATTTTTTGTAATAAACAACGTTTATTCTTGTATTGAACTTATATAAATTTTGTGAGTGGTATCTAGTGATTTTTTTTATAGTATATTTAACATAATATATTTATTTGTTACTCTATTATGTGATTGTTACAATATTAGTAATAATAAATGACAAGAAGAAATTTATCATATTAATATGGTTATCTTGTGGTTGTACAAATAAAGCATCATTTAAATCCGCAAATAATTAAGTTCGTATACGTATGTTTAATTATTATGTACCATACAAAACCGTACCAAGAATAACAGTAATTAATATCAAAGTTATTATACATTTCGTATTATACGTACAAAATAAACTATTTTAATTAAACATATGAAATTTATACCTTTGACAAATTATGCTCACGTAAATATTCTGTGAATAAATACATCGTAGCTATAAGCCTATTAGCTACGATGTATTAATTTACAGAACATTGCAATGATCATATGAATTTAATTATGACTTAAATACGCGGATGTGCAGTTCGAATATATTACTGAATTACTTTGACGTGGACCTGTAAATACACACTGAAAATTTCAATTTAGCCTGTAGATTTAATTACTACCCGTAGACATTGCGTATATTAAATTTAAAGTCGCTTTGATGTGAAATGCATGCAAATAGTGAATGAAAATTGTCACTATCGACTGAGTAAATACCGGCTGGTCAAATCCTTCGTGTCTTTGTTTAAATTTAATTTGCACAAATATAATACTGACAGTGAATATAAACTTAAAAACGTAAAGTAATAATAAAATTATTTAAAAGAGCAACACGCAAGTTTCTTACTCGTTCTTCTTGTGATGAGATAGCTTTCCGAACGAGCAGTAGATTAAAAAAAATGTAATAACTATTCAAAAGTGCTTCAATGTAAGTTTATTTGAATAAATGATTTTCTATTCTATTCTATTCTATTCTATTAATTAATAACTGTGCCAGTGGTTTCACTCGCGTTAAATTTCAATAAAAAATATACTCTATATGTTATTCTGATGTATAAGCTATAATACTGTAAATTTTCATCAAAATCTGTTCAGTAGATTTTCCGAGAAACAGTAACGCACTTAAAAGCTTTCGCGTTTATAATATTATATATTAAGATTAAGATAGCTACACTTTTTTCATAATTATACAGTTGGAATGCATTAGAGGAAGTATGAAAGTGGCACCGGTGTCAGAGAGGTTGAAGAGTAATCGTCTATCATGGTATGGACATGTAATGCGTAGGAACGAGGATAATATTTTAAGAAAGGTGTTACATATGAATGTGGATGGTTATAAGGGCAGAGGAAGGCCGAAAAAGAGATGGATGGACTGTGTGAAAGATGATATGGTAAGAAAGGAAGTAAATAACGCGATGACTGCGAACAGGGATGAATGGAAGAGAAAAACATATTACGACGACCACAAATAAATGGGATAAGGAAGAAACAGATGATGATACAGTTGGAATGCAATTATATATGAGAATGATCAGAATTAAACTCGTTAAAATATATAGATACTTTTCTTACTTTACTTGCATTAAAAAGAGACATTTCAAAATGTTATATTGATATAATTAATAAATATAATATTTCTGTTGCAGTGCATTTGACCGACTGAAACAAGTGGACTGGGCCGGCGTGAGGCGCGATGGCCACAATATCTTCACTAAACTTATACGCACCCGAGATCCCAATGATTCAGAGACGAATCAAGAACTAACTGTTCCAGGAAAACAACGACTTTCGGTAAGTCTTTATCATTTTAATACTAAACCATACTTTATTTATTGTTAAACATGTTTTTTCGGTCTACTCTAATGCTGTTGGCCGCAGCTGGCCTTTACAGCTTCACCGGACGGTAGGGGGCGGATGGCACTCCAAACCCGCGGAAGGACTTATAGACTGCTGAATGCCAACTCCCGCCTGACGCATATGACTTAGCATAGTCTGAGGTCACCGCTAGGGGTTCGAACTTCGGCTCAGGCCGTTGTTTGTATTGAATGGGGGATTGATCGGAGGAGCAACCAGTGTGGGGCGCCCGATCGCACGCAGGTGCCCAATTGATTGCGCGGCATGGTGTGATTGAGGTCGTCGTCTTCGCCGGCGAGGACAGTGTCGTGTGTGTGTGTGAAAGTGTGGTCGGGATGGAACGGGTGGACCCATAGGGAGTTTAACTGCCGTTATGGGGTCGGTGGGATTAAACATTATAAACTACCAGTATTTATATATAACAAACGTTCCTGAACACTGCATAATATATAAGTCGATACTGGAGACTGTTTGCCTTCACGACAATAAAAATAAGCTATTATGTATTTCGATCTGTAAAGAACTTAAATAAAATCGAGAAGATTATTTGCAATATGATTTGTTTAAACTCAATTATTGAAATGCGGAATAGAAATAATAGAAACTATACTATAGGTAAAAATATATTATTAATATAATCTCAGAACAATTCACACAGCGCCATCTAGACTCAAGTTATGCTAGCTAGAGCTTGTGTTATGGATACTAGACAACATATATAAATATATAGATACACTAGATATACCTTCAGCAAGTAATACACCCATACACAAATCTAAGAGACTGTAAAACATTCCGACACTTTGTGTTTCTAAGAAACACATCATTAATTCATAGTCATTCAAATTATTCATGAATACAAATATTTGTACAGTGCTTGGAATCGAACCCGCGACTGTTATACCGCTAGACCATCGAGCCCTAGTTTTTATCCATACATAAATTATATCTACTTCCCGGATTTCAGTGAAACATTTCATATATTACTGCAGGCGTACTACACGATACAGTTGAATTTTATTTTCTAAAATGTCAGACACTTGCTCTCACACTGTTCTATCAATAAAAGAGTACAAAATATAAAGCAAATATACACGTCTCGGACTCGTCTTCTGTACGTTCTAGTTTCATATTGAAAATCATTTTACCGTAGTTCTCGACGACATTCTTTCCGCAAGCCCCAGCCTCTGTAGTATGCTCTCTCTCATATTTACAATGACATAAACAACGAGTGAAATATATCCAATATCTCGATATGGCTGTAGGTATGTAATATTGATGTTTATACACATCTGTAAGCATTTAAAATTAATAGAATAATAAGAAAGTATTTAGGATTATTGCAGAATAAATGTTATCAAAATAGTTAATCATTTAAAATTAATAGAATAATAAGAAAGTATTTAGGATTATTGCAGAATAAATGTTATCAAAATAGTTAATCACATAAAATTAATAGAATAATAAGAAAGTATTTAGGATTATTGCAGAATAAATGTTATCAAAATAGTTAATCATTTAAAATTAATAGAATAATAAGAAAGTATTTAGGATTATTGCAGAATAAATGTTATCAAAATAGTTAATCATTTAAAATTAATAGAATAATAAGAAAGTATTTAGGATTATTGCAGAATAAATGTTATCAAAATAGTTAATCATTTAAAATTAATAGAATAATAAGAAAGTATTTAGGATTATTGCAGAATAAATGTTATCAAAATAGTTAATCATTTAAAATTAATAGAATAATAAGAAAGTATTTAGGATTATTGCAGAATAAATGTTATCAAAATAGTTAATCATTTAAAATTAATAGATAAATAATAAAGTATTTAGGCTTATAGCAGAATAAATGTTATCAAAATAGTTATCCATTTAAAATTAATGGAAGAATAAGTAACTATTTAGGCCTATTGCAGAATAAATGTTATCAAAATAGGTACACATTTAAAATTAATAGAATAATAAGAAAGTATTTAGGATTATTGCAGAATAAATGTTATCAAAATAGTTAATCATTTAAAATTAATAGAAGAATAAGAAAGTATTTAGGCCTATTGCAGAATAAATGTTATCAAAATAGTTAAGCATTTAAAATTAATAGATAAATAATAAAGTATTTAGGCTTATAGCAGAATAAATGTTATCAAAATAGGTACGCATTTAAAATTAATAGAAGAATAAGAAATTATTTAGGCCTATTGCAGAATAAATGTTATCAAAATATCCTCGATGCTGCGGGTACTGTGAGACTCCTACTCACTAAAAACTTTTTTTTTAACGTGTGGAAAATCTTCAAAAGACCGTCACCCCGCCGGAGGGAGGGCGGGGTGGTGTGTGAGACTTGTACTCAGGGCGACCTATTTCGCCCTACTCCATTGTGGAGGCGTGTGGGTACACGCGCACACCTCCGGGGTCTTTGGAGATCCTTCCGCGAGATAACTTCCTCGCAGAAGGAGCTCACCGCCAGCCACGATCTCTCGCTATTGATCATCCTCCGAACTAAATTCGGCAATTCCGAACACTAACCTAACCGGAATTATTCATACTACCCGGTCCAAGTGATAAATTAAAGCTATTTCAAACACTGACTTATTACATGGACCTCGTGCCCTCGGGCATTATTAATAATGGCCGGTACTTATTAATAATACCCAGTTAATCACATTGCCCATAACATATACACTATTTACACACTTTCTTCAAGAAGTTGAATTGTATAATTTATATATATAATGTATAATTTAATATTGAATATCTAAGAAACAAATAGGACGTGAAGTAACGTATTTGTTCGTGTGAAATGTATGAACGCTGCTGTACATTCCCGAAGGATCGATGAAACATTCCCAAACAAATGTACCTTTGTCTTGTCAGCCAATATAATGTGACAGGTGGCAATAGTGTCGATATATTCCTCAAAGGCTGGCGGATGTAGATGTTCATACACAGATGATAGTTTATCCCGGAAGTGGAACTATTTATCTTGCTACTCGCCCCGGCTTCGCACGGGTGTACATGTCATCATCATTGAATAGTATAAAACAAAGTCGCTGTCGCTATCTGTGACTATGTGTGCTCAAATCTTTAAAACTACGCAACGGATTTTGAAGCGGTTTTTTTTAATAGATAGCGTGATTCTAGAGGATGGTTTATATATATAACTAGTACGCCTATCTGACAGAGAGGCAATTCAAATTTTATATTAAACAAATGTTATGTAGAAAAGCCTATTATAGGATAAATGAATTTAGATGATAGCAATATATAGTATAAGTTTATTTGCGGACAACGTTATAATTTATTTTTCATACAGCTTTTTGATATACATATGATAGCGTAGCGGCTTTTGTATTGATTGCCGCATGCATCCTCTATCTATCCATGAATAAGCGGTAGATTTTAAAAAAATGTTAACTATGGGACACAGTCACCTAGATACATCAAAATAATTGCATTTAATAATGTCTAGTAAGACAAATTCAATATTGTGTACTAAGCACTGCCGTGTCTAAACTGTGTCACCCCACCTTACATTTTCCTATTTTTATTTAGTATATAAGATCATTAGTTCTATGTACATATAGTCAGTTTATTATCATCTGATATATACATCGTCGCGACCAACAACATCGTATTATTCACCCGCAACAGTGGTGACCCCGACGTGATCTGGCCGACGTGGTCGAGACGATGTATATTACAAATGATGATAAACTGACAATATATACATAGAAATAATGATCTTATATACTAAATAAAAATAGGAAAATGTAAGGTGGGGTGACACAGTTTAGACACGGCAGTGCTTAGTACACAATATTGAATTTGTCTTACTAGACATTATTAAATGCAATTATTATTTTGATGTATCTAGGTGACTGTGTCCCATAGATATTCCCCCCTTGAGAAAAAAAAATAGTATTCAAAAGTGCTTAAATTAAATTTATTTGAATAAATGATTTTCTATTCTAAAAAAAAAAGTATATTCAGATAATAAAAGGGTGGGTAGTGCACATCTAAATGTCTATACATATAAATAAAATTGGAGTGTCTGTTTGTAAGATAGAAATAACCGGTTTACTACATGCATACGAATATAAATAAGACACATACACAAAGAAAACACATTTTAAAATATTTGTCAGTCGGTCTGTCGGTATGTTTGTTCCGGCTATTCTCTGAAATGGCTGAACCGATTTTAATGGGACTATTTTTGGGCAGGTAGCTGATGTAATAAAAAGTAAGTTAGGCTACTTGAAAATTCTTTTATTTTAGAAAAATAAAGTTAATTTCCACACGGACGTAGTCGCGGAAACAGCTAGTAGTGAATACATATATATTTGTACTTTAATTTATCTATTAACATTTTACTTATCGATTAAACATGTATAATCAAAATATATTTATATCTACTTTAGATAGAGCGTGCACACTCATTCCTTCATACTTATACGTGCGCGCGAATCAATTTTTTTTACACTTAGATTGTGGAATGAACTTCCTGCCGAGGTTTTCCCACGAGACTACAGCATGGGGTTTTTCAAGAAGGGTATATTAAGGTTTCTTAAGGGTCGGCAACGCGCACGTGACACCCCTGGTGTTTCAGGCGTTCATAGGCTACGGTAACCGTTTACCATCAGATGGGCCGTATGCTTGATTGCCACCATCGTAGTATAAATAAAAAATAGGTAGTATATTAATCAATTCACTGGAATTTTTACTTCATGGTCCTCCACATTACGCCTTGGTTACTAGTACCAAACCCTATTGACTGAAAAAGCAAAGAACAGAAAGCAAAGGTTTTCTCATCAGACTACAGCATGGGGTTTTTCAAGAAGGGTATATTAAGGTTTCTTAAGGGTCAGCAACGCGCAAGTGACAGTCCTGGTGTTTCAGGCGTCCATAGGCTACGGTAACCGTTTACCATAAGA